TTCTTCTCCCACTTTACTGAAGAAAGAACCATCCCAAACATAACTATGGGGCATTGTCCTTGGGCTTTATACCAATTCAAAATTCTGCTGACCAGGAAGCCAGCTTAATCAAAGCATCATAAACTCCCCCATCCACCTCCTGAGCTGCATTTTCAAAATTTTAATGGTCATTTTCATAATTATTTATCAACATTTAAATTGTTTTGATCAATTGTGTAATTTAATCCAAAATAATTTTCTTTAACACTTCGGGCCAGGACAGATGGACACCAGGAGCAATGAGAGCAGCATCCTTGGCCTCTCCTTCCATATTTCTGTAAAGTTTAGATCAACCCAACAGCTTGGCCTGTGCTCTAGGGAAAAGGATAACGGACTTGGGCCTCATGAGGTCAGAGCAAGAAAGCGGAGAAAGCAGCTTTACCTGCATTACTCCCTCCCCTGATACCAGGTGGGCTTAAAAAGGTTTTAACTGGCAGTCTTGCACCGGTGGTTTGCACAGTAGTGTTGGGAGCCCAGGTGGAGAGCCCATGCAGGAGAAGACTCCTCACTGTGGCCTAAAAGCCCAGTGGTTCCTGCCTCTCCCCCACCTCTTCCTTTTTCTCACTAAGCCTCAGTCACACCAGCCACTCTTCTGCTCAGCAAACATGTTGTGCTCTCCATCACCCCCTTCCAGTCACAGCGCCTTTGCACACCCTGTTTCCTCTGCCTGGAATACTCTCTATTCTTTGCTTGGCTGACTTCTTTTCATCTTACATGCCTTGGCTCAAACATTGCTTCTTCGAAAAGGCCTTTCCTGAGTAAACTAGATTTCTCTTGCTTTCACTTACTTCACACTTTATTCATTCCCTATGAATTCATGGGTGGTGCAAGTGGTTAATGCGTTCACCTGCTAACAGAAAGCTTGTAGGCTTGAGTCCACCCAGAGGTGCCTCGGAAGAAAGGCCTGGTGATTTACTTAAGAAAAATCAGCCACTGAAAACCCTATGAAGCACAGTTCTACTCTGACACACACGGGGTCACCATGAGTCGGAATCAACACAATAGCAACTTTTTTTGTTCTTTCCCTGCATAGCAAATATTACAATTCATAATCACATAGTTGTTTGTGTTCTTGGTTGATATCTGTTTCCCCCACATGACTGGGAACTCAGCAGGGCAGAACCAGGTCTGTTTTGTTTACCACAGAATCCCCAGCACCAGAACATTGTTGCCACATAGCCCTTGTGGAATGAATGAATGAACCTCCACCTCCCGTATACCCTAGAGGGAAGGAAGCTCTGAAAGGAGAGGACCTGATCACTGCATTATATGGGAAGAGGATGGTCATATAAAACAGGGATCCTCATACTGACCTCAGGGTCTTTGGTGAGGAATGAACAGGAGGATGCACGTGAAGTGCTGCAAACAGGGAACCTGTATGGTTGCCAGGGAATGGTCCCGGGGGTGGGAGTCGGGAGAAGCCCTTACCTCGGAGGAATTGGGACATATTCACATGCCCACGGAGTGGGCTCTGCAATTCACTGTGATCCACTTGGCAGGTGACCTGGGAGGAGAGTGAGGAGATGGTGAGGGTCACTACGGCGGTGCTGATGACAGTGTAGGAGGAAGCGTCCCCAGGTGGGAGGACTAGGGTCCAAAGGGCTGGAAACTCCATGCCATTTTCAAGCCATTTCAGATGGATGCTTCTGGGAAAGAAGCCAGTTGATGTGCAGTTGAGATTGACTATCTGGCCTGGACTGACCCTGTTGGAGGGGCCAGAAACCACTGGAGGAGAGGGCTTAGCTTTAATCAAGGCAAGTGTGGAGAGAGAGGGGAGGGGAGGAGAAGGAAGAGGAGGGAAAGGGAAAAGACAGAAAATGGCAAGTTAATCTTTAACCACCTTCATAGTTTACCCTGCTTGACTTCCCACTCAAATCTCTCATCTCTAGTTTCCTCCTCTTCAAAATTTTTATTTCCAGCTCACACTCTGAAACCAGACCTTGATGATCTTGCTAAAATGCAAATCTGACCATGTCATTTCCTTGTTTTCTCTGTCTGTCTTTCCTCCCTCCCTTCCCTCCCTCCCTCAAGCCCTCCTTCCTTCCTTTTAAAATCAAAGTACATTTCTTAAAAATCAAAAGCACTTTATAAGGCATATCATGAAAAGCAGCAGCTTCTGGCTTCCTGCCCCTGTAAAAATTATAGACCAATCACTTTTAACTATTTTACCTATTTCTTTGGACGGTTCCTTTCACATTTCTAGATTAATATGCTTATACTTATTTCTTGATTTTTCAGTTTTATATATTATGGATAGATCTACTACTGTGGAAGACGATGATCTAGCTCTCTGATATCTCCCTCCACCTGCCACACACACTTTCCCTCCTCACATCTTCATATCAAAGACACATTGCTTACTCCATGTTTTGGTAAAGTACAAAAAGTGCATGAGAGGGAGTTCTTGGTGACTTTGTAAACTTGATAGTTTGACTGGGTATAGAATTTTAGGTTGGAAATGATTTTCTCTGGAAATTTTGAAGGCACTGCTCCTTGTCTTCTAGATTGCAATACAGCCCTTGAGATGTCTGATGCTGGTCTCATTCACAGTACTTCATGTATGACTTATTTTTTCTTTTCAATTCTTGAAACTTATATGACCTTCTCTTTGTTTCCAAACACTGCCTATCCTTCTGTTTGCTTTTCCATAATCCTACGGTGCTGAAATTTTAAAGGTTCAAAAATTCTATTGATGTATTCTTCTATGGCTCTGTTAAAGTAAATTATTGCACTCATTTTTTAAGAAAATTTTTTTATAATCATTAATTAATCCATATGAACAGGCCTTAACTAACTACTTTCTTTCCCAGGCTTTCTCTTAATGCATACGGTTTAGAGTCTTACAGGCTTCGTCTTCAACCATGATTGTATCAGTCAATCAGCAAATCACTCTCATATCCAAGAATATGCAGGGCTTATAGAAATCAAGGAGTCCCGGGGCAGTGCAAATAGTTAACACATTCAGCGACTAACTAAGGGTTGAAGGTTCAAGTCTACCCAGAGGCACCTCAGAAGAAAGGTCTGGAGATCTACTTCTGAAAAATCAGCCATTGAAAACCCTGCGGAGCACAGTTCTACTCTGACACTCATGGCGTTGCCATGAGTTGGAATTGACTCAATGGCAACTGCTTTTTTATTTTCTTTATAGAAACCAATATACTGTGGACCGCCAAAGAATGAACAACTCAGTCTTAGAAGAAATAAATCAAAATGTTCCTTAGAAGCAAGAATGGCAAGAGTTCAACTCACTGTGGACATGTCATAGGAAAAACCAATTGCTAGAAAAGGAGATCATGTCTGATAAAGTAGGGGTCCGAAGAAAACGAGGGGAACGCTGAATGAGATGATTTGACACAATAGCTGCCACAATGGACTCAAATACACCAACAATCATGAAGATAGTGCAGGACTGGGAAATGTTTTGTTCTGTTATACATAAGGTTGTCATGAGTCAGAGCCAACTCGATAGCAACTAACAACAAAGAGGAAATCTAGGACAAAATTTAAGAAATATAGGGATTATATATTCTATATAAAAATGTGATTCTTATAATTTTCTTCCTCAATAATTCTACCATTTTTGTTTTCGGGATTCAATGGTACCATGCATTTATGATTATGTTTTTAAGTCTAATTGGTTGTAATACCTTGAATACTAACAATACACACTAATATAAAAATTGTTGTGTAACAGTCACTCTTCTAAGTGTTTTATATTTATAAACTCATTTACATTTATAGTCCTCACAACAATCCTACCAGGGGGGTACTATTATTATCTCCCTCTTACACATGAGGAAACTGAGGTACAGAGAAGTTAAACTCACCTAAGTTCACACAGCTTCTAAATGGCAGAGCTAGAAGCTGAATCAGGCTGTCTGGCCCCGGAGCCTATGCTTTTATCCACTATGCTTTCCTGCCTGTTTTGTGGTCCTTCAGAAGCTGTAAGATGCTAAAGAGTTAGGATTCTATTACATATGTCCCTGGGATTATAGTTCACTTCACTCCTTCACCATGACTTATCCCCATCCCTATCTTCTACCCTCAGTCTGGGCACAAGCGCCAACAAAGGGGGAGCCTTGGGTCGAGGCTCTAGGGGACCTGGACTCACCATTCACAGTCACCAAGGTGCCTGGACCAGACTTAAACTCTACGTCATCAGGGCTCCCTTTCCTGAACTTCACACAGTAGTAGGTGCCAGAATCCTCAGTCGACACGTCCATGATGCGGATGGAAAAGTCCAAGTTGTCACCTTTTGTGTAGTCTGAAACATTTATCACTCGGGGGAAGAGGCCTAAGTGGTCTAGGCCCCCTTTGAAATTGTAGACTAACTGCCGGTCTGGCCCAGCCCCCCTGAACCACTGGATGGGCCCCACGGGACGCACAGAGGAGACCACACAGGGCAGAGTGACCGCCTCTCCAGCTGCGACCGACACCGACTTCTCACGTTGAATCACCTGCAGCTCCTCCTGACCTGTCACTCCTGGAAAGAAACACAGGTCAATTCCCAAGTCCCCCGCCCTGGCCCATCTGGGGCTGAGGCTGGAGCCCAAGCGCCTGGACCCAGGTTGAAGTCCCAGTAATCCTTTCTGTTGACATCATGTAATAACTTCTAGGATGGACAAATTGCTAGTCTGAGAGGAACGCAGAGACAAGACAGACAGAGCTCTTGCAAAGGCCACGAATGGGGAAGTCACGAGAGAAGAAATAAATCTATGAAAAGATGTTCAACAACCCAGTAAAGCAGTGAAATGCCAGGAACAAAATGCTAAAGTCCATGAGCAAATAGCTGGAAAAGTTAAAACAAAACACAACAAAAAATGCTGGTCTTAGCATATGAAACGTTAAACCATACTTTAAGCCTGCAATAACAGAGCCAGTCGGCACTAAGGCAAGCTGAGAGGTCAGTGAAACAGAAGAAAGAGCCTAGATTGGATCCAAGGAAATATTCAGATTTCCTGAATGATAAAGGTGGCATTTTACGTCCATAGAAGAAAGCTATCCGGAAGACCAACAAAATTCTTAAAAAGTGGCTGCCTCCGGCAAGTGAGATGGAAATGGAGATTTTTTATTGTTTACGTGTATAGTTCTTTTCTGTCTGAATTTTTTTGATGACAAGTCTGTAATGTAATAAAAAGAAAATAAAACATTTCTGTAAAGAACGTAGTTGTAAGAATATTAGCTTGCCGAAAATAAAAAAGATTGCCAATTCTCTGTATTGCCAAGGGTGTGACTAAGCTGTCACTCCTACATACTGCTGGTGGGACTATAAATCCACGCAACCTATGACATATATACACTCCATAAGCCCACGTTTTAACAAGTAACGGGAAAGACTTTAACTAAATTTGTTTTGGTCACAAATGTTCAAAATGTCCCCATGTCCCTTGCTGCTGCTAATGTGCTGTATTTGTTGAGACATACATATGACCATATTTTATTGGGAAATTCTTAATTTCAAAAGCCTTCAAAATGCACTCATGCCCTTTGACCTAAAAATTCCACTTCTAAAATTGCAAATTTTATTTTATATAATTTTCCTACAATAAAAAAAGAAAATATGGTAATGTGGAAGTATATATTGGGAATGCACGCTATTGGGAAGGTACACATTGATGATGACGTTGTTGTTGTTGCCATTAGTTGCCATGGAGTCGATTCTGACTCATGGCAACCCCGTGTGTGCAGAGTAGAACTGCTCCATAGGGTTTCCAAGGCTGTGACCTTTCAGAAGTAGATTGCCAGGCCTGTCTTCTGAGGCACCTCTGGGTGGTTTTTTTTTTTCTTTTTTTAATTGTACTTTAGATGAAGTTTTGCAGAACAAATAGTTTCTCATTGAACAGTTAGTACACATATTGTTTTATGACAATGGTTAACAACCCCACGACATGTCAACAGTGCCCCTTCTCAGCCCTGGATTCCCTATTACCAGCTTTCCTATCCCCTTATGCCTGCTAGTCCTTGTCCCTGGACTGCTGTGCCCCATTAGTCTCGTTTTGTTTTATGGGGCTGTCTCATCTATGACTGAACAGTAAACCTCGGGAGTAACTTCATTACTGAGCTAAAAGGGTGTCCGGGGGGCATACTATTGCGGTTTCTCCAGTCTCTGTCAGGCCAGTAAGTCTGGTCTCTTTTTGTCAATTAGAATTTTGTTCTACATTTTTCTCCAGCTCTGTCCGGGACCCTCTGTTGTGATCCCTGTCAGAGCAGTCAGTGGTGGTAGCTGGGCACCATCTAGTTGTACTGGACTCAGTCTGGTGGAGGCCGTGGTAGTTGTGGTCCATTAGTCCTTTGGACTAATCTTTCCCTTGGATCTTGTT